TGTAGACTCTCTGTAGACTCTCTTTAGACTCTCTGTAGACTCTCTGTAGACTCTCTTTAGACTCTCTTTAGACCCTCTGTAGACTCTCTGTAGACTCTCTGTAGACTCTCTTTAGACTCTCTTTAGACCCTCTGTAGACTCTGTAGACTCTCTGTAGACTCTCTGTAGACTCTCTTTAGACTCTCTGTAGACTCTCTGTAGACTCTCTGTAGACTCTAGACTCTCTGTAGACTCTCTGTAGACTCTCTGTAGACTCTCTGTAGACTCTCTGTAGACTCTCTGTAGACTCTAGACTCTCTGTAGACTCTCTGTAGACTCTCTGTAGACTCTCTGTAGACTCTCTTTAGACTCTCTGTAGACTCTCTGTAGACTCTCTTTAGACTCTCTGTAGACTCTAGACTCTCTGTAGACTCTCTGTAGACTCTCTTTAGACTCTCTGTAGACTCTCTGTAGACTCTCTGTAGACTCTCTGTAGACTCTAGACTCTCTGTAGACTCTCTGTAGACTCTCTGTAGACTCTCATTTAGACTCTCTTTTAGACTCTCTGTAGACTCTCTGTAGACTCTCTGTAGACTCTAGACTCTCTGTAGACTCTCTCTAGACTCTCTGTACACTCTCTTTAGACTCTCTGTAGACTCTCTGTAGACTCTCTGTAGACTCTCTTTAGACTCTCTGTAGACTCTCTGTAGACTCTAGACTCTCTGTAGACTCTCTGTAGACTCTCTGTAGACTCTCTGTAGACTCTCTGTAGACTCTAGACTCTCTGTAGACTCTCTCTAGACTCTCTGTAGACTCTAGACTCTCTGTAGACTCTATGTAGACTCTCTGTAGACTCTAGACTCTCTGTAGACTCTCTGTAGACTCTATGTAGACTCTCTGTAGACTCTCTGTAGACTCTAGACTCTCTGTAGACTCTCTGTAGACTCTAGACTCTCTGTAGACTCTATGTAGACTCTCTGTAGACTCTAGACTCTCTGTAGACTCTCTGTAGACTCTCTGTAGACTCTATGTAGACTCTCTGTAGACTCTAGACTCTCTGTAGACTCTATGTAGACTCTCTGTAGACTCTCTGTAGACTCTATGTAGACTCTCTGTAGACTCTATGTAGACTCTCTGTAGACTCTCTGTAGACTCTCTGTAGACTCTAGACTCTCTGTAGACTCTATGTAGACTCTCTGTAGACTCTCTGTAGACTCTCTGTAGACTCTATGTAGACTCTCTGTAGACTCTCTTTAGACTCTCTTTAGACTCTCTGTAGACTCTCTGTAGACTCTATGTAGACTCTCTGTAGACTCTCTTTAGACTCTCTGTAGACTCTATGTAGACTCTATGTAGACTCTCTGTAGACTCTCTGTAGACTCTCTGTAGACTCTCTGTAGACTCTATGTAGACTCTCTGTAGACTCTCTGTAGACTCTTTGTAGACTCTCTGTAGACTCTCTGTAGACTCTCTGTAGACTCTAGACTCTCTGTAGACTCTCTGTAGACTCTCTTTAGACTCTATGTAGACTCTCTGTAGACTCTCTGTAGACTCTCTGTAGACTCTAGACTCTCTGTAGACTCTCTGTAGACTCTATGTAGACTCTCTGTAGACTCTAGACTCTCTGTAGACTCTCTGTAGACTCTCTGTAGACTCTCTGTAGACTCTCTGTAGACTCTAGACTCTCTGTAGACTCTCTGTAGACTCTCTGTAGACTCTCTGTAGACTCTCTGTAGACTCTCTTTAGACTCTGTAGACTCTCTGTAGACTTTAGACTCTCTGTAGACTCTCTGTAGACTCTATGTAGACTCTCTGTAGACTCTCTGTAGACTCTCTGTAGACTCTCTGTAGACTCTCTTTAGACTCTCTGTAGACTCTCTGTAGACTCTAGACTCTCTGTAGACTCTCTGTAGACTCTATGTAGACTCTCTGTAGACTCTCTGTAGACTCTATGTAGACTCTCTGTAGACTCTCTGTAGACTCTCTGTAGACTCTCTTTAGACTCTCTGTAGACTCTCTGTAGACTCTCTGTAGACTCTCTTTAGACTCTCTGTAGACTCTCTGTAGACTCTCTGTAGACTCTCTGTAGACTCTCTGTAGACTCTCTTTAGACTCTCTGTAGACTCTATGTAGACTCTATGTAGACTCTCTGTAGACTCTCTGTAGACTCTCTGTAGACTCTCTGTAGACTCTATGTAGACTCTCTGTAGACTCTCTGTAGACTCTCTGTAGACTCTAGACTCTCTGTAGACTCTATGTAGACTCTCTGTAGACTCTATGTAGACTCTCTGTAGACTCTAGACTCTCTGTAGACTCTCTGTAGACTCTATGTAGACTCTCTGTAGACTCTCTGTAGACTCTAGACTCTCTGTAGACTCTCTGTAGACTCTAGACTCTCTGTAGACTCTATGTAGACTCTCTGTAGACTCTAGACTCTCTGTAGACTCTCTGTAGACTCTCTGTAGACTCTATGTAGACTCTCTGTAGACTCTAGACTCTCTGTAGACTCTATGTAGACTCTCTGTAGACTCTCTGTAGACTCTATGTAGACTCTCTGTAGACTCTATGTAGACTCTCTGTAGACTCTCTGTAGACTCTCTGTAGACTCTAGACTCTCTGTAGACTCTATGTAGACTCTCTGTAGACTCTCTGTAGACTCTCTGTAGACTCTCTGTAGACTCTATGTAGACTCTCTGTAGACTCTCTTTAGACTCTCTTTAGACTCTCTGTAGACTCTCTGTAGACTCTATGTAGACTCTCTGTAGACTCTATGTAGACTCTATGTAGACTCTCTGTAGACTCTCTGTAGACTCTCTGTAGACTCTCTGTAGACTCTATGTAGACTCTCTGTAGACTCTCTGTAGACTCTCTGTAGACTCTCTGTAGACTCTCTGTAGACTCTCTGTAGACTCTAGACTCTCTGTAGACTCTCTGTAGACTCTCTTTAGACTCTATGTAGACTCTCTGTAGACTCTCTGTAGACTCTCTGTAGACTCTAGACTCTCTGTAGACTCTCTGTAGACTCTATGTAGACTCTCTGTAGACTCTAGACTCTCTGTAGACTCTCTGTAGACTCTCTGTAGACTCTCTGTAGACTCTCTGTAGACTCTCTGTAGACTCTAGACTCTCTGTAGACTCTCTGTAGACTCTCTGTAGACTCTCTGTAGACTCTCTTTAGACTCTCTGTAGACTCTCTGTAGACTTTAGACTCTCTGTAGACTCTCTGTAGACTCTCTGTAGACTCTCTGTAGACTCTCTGTAGACTCTCTGTAGACTCTCTTTAGACTCTCTGTAGACTCTCTGTAGACTCTAGACTCTCTGTAGACTCTCTGTAGACTCTATGTAGACTCTCTGTAGACTCTCTGTAGACTCTATGTAGACTCTCTGTAGACTCTCTGTAGACTCTCTGTAGACTCTCTTTAGACTCTGTAGACTCTCTGTAGACTCTCTGTAGACTCTCTTTAGACTCTCTGTAGACTCTCTGTAGACTCTCTGTAGACTCTCTGTAGACTCTCTGTAGACTCTCTTTAGACTCTGTAGACTCTATGTAGACTCTAGTAGACTCTCTGTAGACTCTTGTAGACTCTCTGTAGACTCTCTGTAGACTCTATAGACTCTCTGTAGACTCTCTGTAGACTCTCTGTAGACTCTCTGTAGACTCTCTGTAGACTCTCTGTAGACTCTCTGTAGACTCTCTGTAGACTCTAGACTCTCTGTAGACTCTCTGTAGACTCTCTTTAGACTCTATGTAGACTCTCTGTAGACTCTCTGTAGACTCTCTGTAGACTCTAGACTCTGTAGACTCTCTGTAGACTCTATGTAGACTCTCTGTAGACTCTAGACTCTCTGTAGACTCTCTGTAGACTCTCTGTAGACTCTCTGTAGACTCTCTGTAGACTCTAGACTCTCTGTAGACTCTCTGTAGACTCTCTGTAGACTCTCTGTAGACTCTCTGTAGACTCTCTTTAGACTCTGTAGACTCTCTGTAGACTTTAGACTCTCTGTAGACTCTCTGTAGACTCTATGTAGACTCTCTGTAGACTCTCTGTAGACTCTCTGTAGACTCTCTGTAGACTCTCTGTAGACTCTCTGTAGACTCTCTGTAGACTCTAGACTCTCTGTAGACTCTCTGTAGACTCTATGTAGACTCTCTGTAGACTCTCTGTAGACTCTATGTAGACTCTCTGTAGACTCTCTGTAGACTCTCTGTAGACTCTCTTTAGACTCTCTGTAGACTCTGTAGACTCTCTGTAGACTCTCTTTAGACTCTCTGTAGACTCTCTGTAGACTCTCTGTAGACTCTCTGTAGACTCTCTGTAGACTCTCTGTAGACCCTCTTTAGACTCTCTGTAGACTCTCTGTAGACTCTCTGTAGACTCTCTTTAGACTCTCTGTAGACTCTCTGTAGACTCTCTGTAGACTCTCTTTAGACTCTCTGTAGACTCTCTGTAGACTCTCTGTAGACTCTAGACTCTCTGTAGACTCTCTGTAGACTCTAGACTCTCTGTAGACTCTCTGTAGACTCTCTGTAGACTCTCTTTAGACTCTCTGTAGACTCTCTGTAGACTCTCTGTAGACTCTCTGTAGACTCTCTGTAGACTCTAGACTCTCTGTAGACTCTCTGTAGACTCTCTGTAGACTCTAGACTCTCTGTAGACTCTAGACTCTCTGTAGACTCTCTGTAGACTCTCTGTAGACTCTCTGTAGACTCTCTGTAGACTCTCTGTAGACTCTCTGTAGACTCTAGACTCTCTGTAGACTCTCTGTAGACTCTCTTTAGACTCTCTGTAGACTCTCTGTAGACTCTCTGTAGACTCTCTTTAGACTCTCTGTAGACTCTCTGTAGACTCTAGACTCTCTGTAGACTCTCTGTAGACTCTCTGTAGACTCTCTGTAGACTCTGTAGACTCTCT